TATTTTTTAATTGAATTAATATGAATTTTTTTCGCATATTGTAGGTGGGATTGAGAACCTGGGCAGCGTTTTTTAAGAGATTATATGCAAATCATTCGATAGGTATATAAAATATACTTTACTGGTTCAAGTAAATTTTTGTTCCATTGGACAGTTTTTTTATTTGAATTATTTTGATTTTTTTACATATAAAGTGTATTTTTCTTTGGCGTCATGCATTTCATCATTCTGTTGATTGTGACCACTCTAATGTTCATAAGCTTATTGATCACTTTCGCAAAGAACAAGAGTTTGCCAAAAACAAAATTGTTCACCTACAAAGATGATAAAAAATTCAAATATTTCAAACTGGGCAAACGTCTAACAACAATATTGCTGGTTTATCACGCCATATAACAAATGGAATTTTTACGTCATATTGTATATAATTTGACTTTGTAATTCACTTTTTTAAAACTTACTACGAATTATTTTAAAAAAGCAATAACGTTAATCATTTGTTTAAACTTTGTTTTCTTGTATTTAAAAAAAGTTCTTTTTAAAAATAAACTAATAAGGATTGAATTTGTTAATATTTCCGATTGGTAAACTTATTAAAAAAAACAAACATTCGAAAAAATAAGAATTTTATCAAAATTTTACCATCAATGCTTTGCAGAGCTATTTCGTGGGCTTTCGGTTAACGGTTTTCTTAATGTTTTGTCCGTAGTATTTTTAATTGAATTATTTTGAAAATTTTTCGCACTTTAATTATTTTATGTGCACATCATAGGATAGGAAATCTACATAAATGGTTCCAATAGTTTTATTGGTCTCTTTTTGTTTAATTTAATTATTTATATTTTTTTCGCATATGCAATCAGGTCTTTTTCTCAGATTTAGCGACCGGGCAGCGTTTTTCAAAGCATTATATAGTAATTTAAATCTACATTAATTTTGTTCCACGAGAAAATTTTATTTTTATCATATAGATAATAAAAATCTACGTTAAAGGTTCCAATGCACGTCATTTGATAGGTAGGGTGGAGTAGGGCAGAACGCCCATTTTTCAAAAAATTGGCTCTAGACAAAAAGCATTCATTACAATTTCACGTTTTTTTGCTTTACAAGTTTACAACTTACATTAATCAGTCGTTGATTAAAATACAATGTCTGCAGCATATTAGGTTCAATTTCTGAGCTACAGTGACAAATACTCGATCAGTAATTAAAGTATTTATTCAAGTGAATTTTGGTTCCATTAGACAGTTTTTTTCAATTGAATTATTTCAATTTTATTGATATTTGGGTTTTTTCTAGATTGAGCATATGGTCAGCGTTCTTTAAGGGATTATATGCACAATTGCACATCATTCGATAAATAAGTAAAACCCGCAATGACGGTTTTTGTGAACATTTGTTCCATTGGACAATTTTTTTAATTGAATTAATTCTATTTTATTTCGCATATTGAAAGTGGGTTTTTTCCAGATTGTGCACACGGGCAGCGTTCTTCAAGGCATTATAAGTAATTATAATCTACGTTAATATTTATTCCATTAGACTATTTTTTTTACTATTTTTTAAAAGCATTTTTTAGATTTTTTGGCCTACTTATAGTTAATCTCAAATTATTGTAATTTTTCCCGGGCAGCGTTTTTCAAGAGATTTTATACACATTTTTATTCCAATGTGTTTCTGTTCCTATAAACAGTTTTTTGAAATGAAATGTTTAAAATTGTTTTCGCATATAGAAATTTGGTTTTTCCCAGACTGAGCACTCGAGCAGCTTTCTTTAAGAAATTAACCGCACATAATTCAATTGGCAATTAATACCAACATCAGTTAAAATGAATTTTAGTTCCATAAGTCAGTTTTTAATTGTTTTATTTCGAATTTTTCACATATTGAAAATGTGTTATTCCAAGATTGAGCAACTGAGCAGCGTTCTTTAGAACATTATAGGTAATTAAAACTTACAGTAATGGTTGTAGTTAATTTTGGTCCCATTAGACAATTTTTTAATTTAATTATTTCAAAATTGTTTTCGCATGCTGATAATGGGTTATTCCTAGAACGAGTATCTGGACACATAGGTCATACTTATATACACATCATTCAATAGGTAAATAAAATCTTCGTTAATGGTTTTAATGTTTTTTTCGTTCCATTAGTCAGTTTAACTTGATCTATTTTGAATTTTTTCCGCATGTCAAAAGTGGATTTGTTCTAGATTGGACACTTGAGCAGTGTTCTTTTAGGGATTATTTGCACATCATTCGATAGTTAAATAAAATCTACGTTGATGGTTCATGTGAATTTTTGTTCCACTAAACGGTTTTTTATTTGATCTATTTCGAATTTTTTTTGCATTTTGAAAGTGTTTTTTTTAGATTGAGTACCCGGACAGCGTTCTTTAAAGCATTGTAAGTAATTAAAATCTACATAAATGAACCAAAAGAATTTTTTAATTATTATATAAAGGGTTATATCTACACCATTCGATAAGTAATTAAAATCTCCATTTATGGTTTTATTTATGTTTTGTTCCATTAGACAGTTTTAATTAATTATAGAATTAATTCAAAATATTTCGCATATTAGTTGTGGATTTTTTTCAGATTGAGTACTTTGACAACGTTCTTTAAGGAATTATAAGCACATCTTACGATGGGTAATTAAAATATACATTAATGGTTCCATTGGTTCAATTGGACAGTTTTTTTAAACTGGATTATTTAGAATTCTTTTCGCATATTCAAAATGGGTTTTTCTCAGTTTGAGCAACCAAAAAGCATTCTTCAAGACATTATGAAAGTAATTGAAATCTACATTAATGGTTCAAGTAAATTTTTGTTCCATTAGGAATTTTTTAAATTGAATTTTTCGCATATTGATAGTGCGTTTTTTCCTGATTGATCAGCGTTTTTAAGGGATTATATGGAAATAATTCGATAGGCAATTAAAATCTGCATTAAAGGCTCCAATATATTTTTGTTCCTTAATTGAATTATTTTACAAATTGTTTTCACATATAGTGAGTTTTCCCAGATAGACACCCGTGCAGCGTTCCTTAAAGGAATATAATGCGCATCATTCGATAGGTATTTAAAATCTACATTAGTTAAAGTGAATTTTAGAACATTAGTCAGTTTTTTTAATTTATTTCAAAAATACTAGGTATTTCCCGAATTAAGCACCCGGGCAGCGTTTTTATAGGAATTATGGGCATATCATTGGATAGGTAATTATAATCTACATCAATGGTATGAGTGATTTTTTTTAATTTGACAGTTTTTTAAATGAATTATTTCACCCGGAATAGAATAATTTTTAAAATTTGCACGTTTATGTATAAGTCTCAATCTAAATTATTTCCTAAGTATTTATCAGATATATTAATTGAACCTAAACGCACCGGTTTACGATCGTCTTCTTGTTCTCGCTTTTTCTTAACTCGTGTTAAACACTCTTTTGCCAAATCTGCTTTTTCTGGTCCTTTTCTCTGGAACTATCTACCTACTTCTCCATCACTTGCGAAGTTCGGAGCGGATCTCAAGACCCATCTGCTTTCAAAATTCATTGAGGAGCGCTGTTGAACATCGCTGAAATAGCGCCCTAGAAGCTAATCGATTGAATGAATTTCCGTTTCATTAGTTTTTTTAATTGAAATATTTTGAATTTTTTTTCGCAATTAATGTGTTTCTTCCAGATAGAAACCCTGGCAGCTTTTTTCAAGGGATTATATGCACATCATTAGATAGGTAATTAAAATCTACATTAATAAATCGACAGACTTTTACAATTGAATTATTTCGAATTTGTCTCGCCAATTGCGTTTTTTCCCAGATTGCGCACCAGGGCAGTGTTCTTATTAGGCATTATAGATAATTAAAATCTACATTAATATCTCCAATGAATTTTTCTTCTATTGGACAGTTTTTTTAAGTGAATAGCAAATGTTGGCTGTAGATTTCAAATTTAAAACGAGTTAAACGCAACGACCCGAAATTGCTATCCTAATTAAAATCCGTAATAAACTTTTGAAAAATCAGAAAAATCGTTTTAAATATATCAAATTTATAACAAAAAACTCGCGAGTACTCACTGACAAAGACAGTAAATGAAGAAAATACTTACAAATGCAATGCAGTAATGTTCCAAAAGTGACAGAGCTCTCAATTTCCTTCTTATATACTGATTGCAACGGATATAAAAATATTAATTTTTATGTAGAGTAAGCTGGAAGTCTGTCAATTGATTTGAGAATTCAGTCCCTTGTGTCCGAAAATGTATAATTTGGTAATGGAAACCCAGAAATTTTTAACTGCGAAGAGACTTAAATCGACCGATAATATTAACAAACACATACATAAATCTAATTGTTTTTACATCAATTTCAAAACAAGTCTCTTCCTCTCTCTTCCTAGACTCGTTAAATTTCACACTAGTTACACTTTTTTATCAGATACAATGCAAATCAAATACACACGATACACAAAAATAAGGACAGAAGACAAATATATTTTGTTGACAAGTTTTAATTTGTTAATTCTTGATAATTTAAAAATGATGAAATATAAAGGAAAAAATTCTGCAGAATAACTTTAAACCAAAACTCTACATAAATAATATAAAAAAGTTGATGGCGAAATTTTTCTTTTGTTAGCAACGCAAAAAATGGAAAAGAAACAAAGTAACAAAGGGAGAGTTATGAAAATCTTCCACTAAGACAAAACTAATTCTATAAAGCAAAAAAGGTCAGACATGATAAAGTATTAAATAAAAAAATGAAAAACTTTTGGAAATCAAAGTTAATTTAGAAAAAATTATTTTTGGTAGCAAAATTTTAGAAAACTGATTTACCTTATAAATTAACATTAATCACGAAAATATGCTTGAATAGCCCAAAATTGATTAAAAAATAAAATAAAAATTTGAGAATGTAATCTCCAAAAGTTATTTTGACATAACACTGGCGTATAAAATAATAGCATCCGTTTGTAATGTTATTTTACCGATCAGTCTTCTTTGATTTCCTTTGAACATTTTACTGCTTTAATTAGACCTCTCCTAATGGCATCTACTGCATAAACTTTTTTACCAGTTAAGTTACTGATATAATCTCCACTTTCTCCATCGACCAATCCCCTTCTGACCGCTTGCATAAATGAAACAAACATACCAAATTTGTGGTCTAAAACGCCTACTACGGAAAATGACTCAATTTCAAATTGTGGAGCGGTTTCATCAAATTGCGCCATTATCCATCCATCTTCAACCGCATCTTCTTCATTTATCCTAATCCCCCCTTTGCTTTCATTAATATATTCTCCAGTTTGGATATCAATAATGTTTCGCCTGATAGCTTCTTGTAGGTTCAATTTTTCAGCTGTTACTGGGTCGAGTGCTCCGACTATAATGTATTTATGATCGACTCGTCTTTTTATAGTTATTAACGGTACCGCTGTTGTTTCAGGAAGACTTCGACAAACAGATATATATTCAACTAATATCTTTCCTTCTAACATGGCCCTTTGTATTGGAAGACCTTGACAAAAACAATTTAAAAAAATAATATGAAAAGATGAAAAACTGGTTAGAAGTGAGCATTGCTTATTATGAATAATTACAAAAATAACACTCATTTTTATTATTATTATTGTTCTGATCAAATATCAACGGTGCCTCTCAATAGAATTAGTGATTAGTTACGTTTTTAGGCATATACCTATTGAGACGAGAACTCCAACGATAAGGACTTGAAAAAGCAAATGCAGACTCTATAAAAAAAATGTTGAGCTGAGATTATAAAATAATCAGAGTTAGAGAAATATTATATAATTCTGTACAATTGGTTTAAATAAAAAACCTAAAAAATATTTAGAAAAGTAATCGGAATTCAAATTATGCATAAAAGTAAAATTTAAACATTATTCTATATTTAAGAAGTAACCAGTGTAAAAGGAATAAAAAGAAGTAGAAGAAAAAGGAGGACGCATAGAACGAGAGAGTTGACATGGGAAGACCATAATGTAAAGAGAACCAACAAGTGAGGTTTTAAGTAAGCTAAGAAGAATCAATCAATCAATCAACCAATCAATCAACCAATCAATCAACCAATCAATCAACCAATCAATCAACCAATCAATCAATCAATCAATCAATCAATCAATCAATCAATCAATCAATCAATCAATCAATCAATCAATCAATCAATCAATCAATCAATCAAACAATCAACCAATCTGTTAGCCAACCAACTAACCAATCAATCAATCAATCAATCAATCAATCAATCAATCAATCAATCAATCAATCAATCAATCAATCAATCAATCAATCAATCAATCAATCAATCAATCAACCAATTAATCAACCTATCAGTTTTTAAAGCACCATGTTCAACATCGCTCCTCAATGAATTTTACAAACTGATAGGTCTTGAGATGCAATCTGAACTTCGTAAGTGATGGAGAAGTTGTCAGAGAGTTGGCAGAGAGTTCCAGAGAAAAAGGTCAATAAAAGCAAATGCAGATTTAGCATAAGAGTGTTTAACAGAAATTATAAAGAAGTGTGAACGAAATAGGAGAAGACGATCGTTCATGTTTAATATATATATATATGATAAGTAATACTTAGGCAATAATTTAAATTGAAACTTGTACATAGATGTGCAAATTTAAAAAATTATTCTATATTCCATAGGTAGCCAATGCAAGAGAGCAAAATATGGAGATATATGAGAAAAGAAAGAGGCGTGACCAACTAGACGAGCAGCACAGTTGAAAGCTTTACTTAAAAAACAGTGTAGAATCAGGAAAACCATAGTAGAGCGAATTACAATTATCAATCCTAGATAAAACTAATGAAGTAACAAGAGGAGAGCAGATCGTCAAGAGAAGGCTAAAGTTTTTTTATTCTATGTAGATGAAAGTAAAAACTTTTAGCAACATAATTAATCTCAGAAGAAATAGATATACTAGAATCAAAGATAAAGACTAGACTAACGAAACTTACGAGAAAAATCAAGTCATAGAATCAAGACAGATAATAGAAGAAATAGTAATAGGGTGTTTAGCTTTATTAAAACATAATAATTAAAACCAAGAAGAATTAAATTTAAGATATATAGAGCCACACCAAACGATAACAGAAAAAAGATAGAGATAAATTATGAAGAAGACTATTGAGATTAGATGAAGGAAAGTAAGTAAAAATATAGGAATCGTCAGCATCATCGAGATAATGCTAGAGACAACAAATACGTTGTAGATGGAAATATCTGATATATTATTTATTTATTTATATTTGTGAGTGGATATTATTGCAATTATCATAAAAACAGCAGCCACAAATAATATTAACAGATTCTTATAAAAAACCGTGTAGTAAACGGAATTAGAGTTCTTCTTTTCTGCGTAAAACCAACTCAAAGATAATCAAAATGGCCACGCTAAGCGCGTTTTTACAAACTAGGATCTTTTCATTTTTACGATCCACATATTAAACGCTTGAACATATTGCACGCTTCGAATATTTTAGAAAATTTGAGTCGAAGTTACAAAATAATTCAACAAACAATACTTATATATTTTAATTATTATATATGTCTATATTTTGAAATTTTTATAAACTTTAAAAAATTATTTCTGCCAGAATCCCAATAGAAAATAGGCACGAAGATTTTAATTAGAATAAATAGCTAAAATTAAGAATGCATAAAATATTATTTTTTTAAAATTTGAAACGTACTTTCATTAGTGCTTGGATTTACATAAAGACCTTTTCTGTGATTGATAATGCCTTCAGATACTGCATATTTAAATGCTACATGGTCGTTTGTTCTAGGGTCAACCACTCCTTTAATAATGAATTTTTTTCTCTCTTCAACTTTTGTAGATTTCAGTTCTTCTGCAACAACCTAGAAATAATTTAAAATCATCATCAGCCACGGCGTTTGAAACAAGCAGGAGTCAGATAAAAAAAATTCGATTATGGACCTGGGCTCCGATTCATACAAAAATTTTTCAACTTTGGCCTTATCCATTTTCAATAAGTATCATTAATTAAAAATAAGATATTTCAAAACATGCTTAAAATCAGTCAACATAGCTGTTTTTTTAGTAAAGATAGTTAATATTCATGTTTTAAAATAGACCAAAAAACAGTAATATACATAGTTCTTTTTGCATTAGTGTGTACTGCTTAATGTTTGTAGCTGTACAAAAAAAGCGTTGTTTTTTTTTCTGGCTTTTTTTTGACGATACAAATTTCATAGTTGACAAATTTCATGGCAGCAGTAATAAGAGAAACATTTTTTTAATTAATAAAATAATACCTTAATCATTTTATTTATTTTTAATAAAAAAAAAAAACATTAAATTCTTTAGTAAAATTAATAAAATTACAAATTGTTGAATGAAAATTAAGATTAATTAAAAAACTTTAAAAGCACCATAAAAACAATAAAACTTAAAAAATTAAGGTTTTAAATCAATCTTCGTTTTGCGTCCAGAGACCCGGTTTCCCGAGGTAGGACGTTGTTTTCTTTGCCATCAACTTTTTGCGCCAAATTAGACGATCAGTTGAATCCATTTCATTTAAATTTAGAGCTTTTATGTATTGCTCGATTGTTTGCGACCAGGACTTCTTTGGACGGCTTTTGGGACGTGTGCCAGGTACTTCAACATCTGCAAGAGAAGTTATGGCACTGTTTCCACTTGGTTTGACATGACCAAACCACCGTTGCCGGCATTCGTCCTTTATATCATCTAAACCTGCACAACGCAGGATTTCGGTAGATTTGATGTGGTCCTTCAGACTAATTCGTTGCATTTATCGGAGCATTTTCATGTCGGTTCGTTGAAGTTGTTGTTCCAGTTTGGTTGACATTGGCCATGTTTCTGCACCATATAACAACACCGGACGTATCACAGATTTATAAAGTCTTGATCGTATTGGTAGTGGGATGTCACGCCGCATCAATATAGAGGCAAGGAGATGCCATTTATTCCAGGCTGCACGTATTGATTATCGATTTATGATAAATAAAGTGACTTGATTTGTTTATAATTAAAACGATAATTTAGAAGTTTATATTGTGTTTTGGACGGCTTTTGGGACGTGTGCCAGGTACTTCAACATCTGCAAGAGAAGTTATGGCACTGTTTCCACTTGGTTTGACATGACCAAACCACCGCAGACGGTGTTGCCGGCATTCGTCCTTTATATCATCTAAACCAGCACGACGCAGGATTTCGGTAGATTTGATGTGGTCCTTCAGACTAATTCATTGCATCCATCGGAGCATTTTCATGTCGGTTCGTTGAAGTTATTGTTCCAGTTTTGGTTGTCATTGCCATGTTTCTGCACCATATAACAACACCGGACGTATCACAGATTTATAACGTCTTGATCGTAGTGGTAGTGGGATGTCACGCCGCACCAATATAGAGACAAGGAGATGCCATTTATTCCAGGCTGCACGCATGCGTGCTCGAACGGCAGCTTCAGCTGTTCCAGTACAATCCAGAACATCCCCTAGATATTGAAACGATGTGACTTTCTCTATTTTAATGGCTTCAAAAACATTGCTATTTAGAATATGTTGTTGTTTATTGATGCAAGCAGGACAAACAAAATTGGACACTTTAGATAAAGTACCAATTATTTTTGAACAACGTTTGTGACACCACTGGTTACACTGCCGACACTTGATTGAATTGTTACCTACACCAGCTTTATAAACCGAACAGGGCCATCGTCCAATAGCTGTGGATCGGATGGGTTCACCAGTGTCCATTGCTTTGGTTTTGCTGATGTTGACTTTGAATCCATGATCGGCGAGTCTGGTGTTCCAATCTTCAAACATCTGTGCTGCATTCTGCTCAGACGTGGCTGTTAAAACGATATCATCAGCATATACTAGATTCCAAATGTCACCAGTGCGTATCGGTTTTGTGATTTCTTCCATCACAGTTATAAATAATCGACCCTTGGTGAACTCCAACGCCAATGTCAAATGCATCTGTGTTTCCAACCGTTGTGCTGACAAAAGTCTTAGTATTCGTATACATTTCCATCACAAGTCGAACAAGATATTCTGGAATAAATTGTCGACGTAGACTCCATCTGATTGCTTGTGTGTGATAGTTGTTGATGCTTTGCGAGTTACTTCTCTTGCAGTTGCCGAAGGATGTGAATTGCATCAATTGTTGATTCCCCCGCTAGAAAACCAATTTTCAGGAAGTGTTCTAACAGACGTATACCCCGATATGATGAACAGTTCAATGGATCACCTTTGCCTTTGTATAGAGGAACTGTCATGCCATAGTTCTATTCAGCCGTCATTGAGCAATTTCTCCATATTTCGCGGCAATGTTGTAGTAACGTTTGGATACCTTCAGTACCAGATGTTTTGATAATGTCATTTATGAGTCCAGAGGGCCCTGCTGCCTTTCCATCCTTCATAGCTTTCAGAGCTTCTGTAAGCTCCTCTACAGTGATGTCCGGAATCGGACCTTCGATGGGTGGAGCGTCAAAGTTAACATTGATTGGATTTGTTTCGTTTAACAGACGCTTGAAGTATTCAAGTATTCTCATCTCGTTCAAGAACCATCTCATTTTTGTCCCTTTTTATACATGAGGCACCACTATGTCTTTTTTCGTACGCTTTGCTTGTTTTGCTATACGATACAGAGATTTCATTTGTTCACCTTTGCTTTTAGTGAGCCACTCTCTGCACTGATCTGTCCGAGCCAGTGCAACTTGACGTTTTTTTAATCTGAAGTTATTTAATAAAAAAATTCTACGTAATCTGTTTTGTTTATTTTTAAATAGGCTTTTTCAAAGTATTGTTTGCATAGTACGTCTAAAATTTTGAAAATTTTTGTGCAGATGTGTACAAAAAAAATTTTCAACTTTGCATTATAATTTTACTTGAATATCACTCATCATCATCATCGACTGGGCTTGTTCGATCGATGATGATGATGATGATGAACACGATTGTTCCAGCCATCTTTAACCATTGCTAGCTTAGTTATTTCTTTAGCATCCAACTTGACTTTTTTGTATAAAGCCTTTGAAATTTGGTCCAGGTAAGAGTAACGCGGTCTGCCTATGCGGTTTGATGTTTTGATTTAAGTTCGCATATATGTTCGTGGGCTTATTTTTCGAAATTCGGAGGATGTGACCGATAATTTGAGTTGTCGATTTCTTACCTCCTACGATATTTCATGTGCACCTCCGATTGCAGGATACCAAACATGATTCTATAGATTTTTCGAGCGAAAACGTTCACTTTAGTTTTTCATCAAGTGTCCATGATTTAAAGCCGTATAGGAGGATTGAAACGCACGCTGCGTTGAAGAGGTGTAGTCCGAATTCTTTGTCAAAGTTTTGGTGCTATCAGAATAATTGTCAAAGGTTACCCATGTTAGTGCGATTCTTGAATCCAGGTCCTTTTCTGTTGTTCCTTCAGAAAAACCAAGATACTTAAAATCTTCAATTTTTTCAATGTTTTTACCACTATGCTTGAGTGAAGTCTTATTATCAAAATTTTCTGGTGGGTTAAGAATCATTTGGACGGTCTTCTGGACATTTATTTTGAGGCCGATATTTGCAGCACTGGAGCTGAACAAATTGAGTTGTTGTTGAGCCTTCTCCATTTCATTTTTTAGTAATCCTATATTGTATGCAAAATCGAGATCACACAGTTACCGATTTTTTGATCGATGGTTGTCAAAATTGGAGTCCTACTTTGCAGTGCCATAGCTTATGTGGCCTGTGTTTTTCTAGCTCTATGTTTTGAAAGGTAATCGATGACATGAATAGGACTGGAGCGAGTACATCTTCTTGCAAAACTCTTGTTGTTGTATTACATTCCTTTGATTCTTCTTCGCCCAAAAATAATCTGTTAGTTGACGAATCGTAGAGTATTCGAATTGCAGCCACAATTTCTGTTGGAATGCCGTAGTGTCGAAGGATTTCGAACATAATTTCTCTGTCAATTGAATCGAATGCCTTTTAAAAGTCGATGAAGGTAATGTAGAAAGAGGTACATCATGAAAATAAGTGCTATCAATTATTCTTCTTAGAATGTGAATCTGTTGGATACAGCTGCGATCATGTCTAAAGCCGGCTTGATTCTTTCTCAGAAAGTTGTCAATTGGGACCTGTACGCAATTAAGAAGAACTTGGTTAAAAACTTTGGCAGCTATTGACATTAAACTGACTCCTCTGTAATTTGTCATCAATTGTAGATTCCCCTTCTTGGGCAGGGGAACCATGAGACTTGAGGTCCACTGAGTTAGTGCATGTTTATGTTTGTACCCATGTCGATTATTGTGTATAGTTGTTTACGAAAGAATTCTCTACCATTTTTCAAAACCTCTGCTTTAATTTCATGGTCTTGTTTGGGGGCTTTGTTCATTTTTAGTTGATTTATAACCATTTGCACTCCTATGGGCAAGATTTCTGAGTTAGGATGCCAGGCATGTTTGGTTTAGGTGATGGTTTGATAGCTTCAACTGCCTCTTCACATTTGTTGTTTAGGAGATTCTCGAAATAGGTGATCCAGTCCTTTAGAATATCATTTTTGGAGTCTGAAATTGAGCTATCAAGTAGTCTGACATTCACAGTTGTTGCAAGTGGTTTGCCGATGACATTGATGATTTTCGAAGTACGCCAGTGTTGTTCACGTTTCTTGGCAGCATCTTCCAATTCGACGAGTCGATTGCTCAAGTCATCTTTTTTATCTCGCTCATAGGCAGTTGAAATTTATTTTTGGGTTGTTCCATTCGGTCTTGTCCTCTGAGAGCTGGAACATTTTGTATCCCTCTTTGGCTCAGCCTTGCTTGTCGAGGAGATCCAGAGTCTCTTTGCTCACCCAGCTGAGATGTTTGAGGTTCCTTTGCCTTTGCTTTTCAAGTACTTTTTTCTCGTATTTTTATCTACATGGCACAGTGCGTTGTAATGCTTTTGGATCTTGATATCAAGTGTGTCCTTAAGAACCGTGTTGTAGAGGACCTCGACTCAACTCTAGATCAAAGGCTAGACGTGTTTGTTCAATCTCAAGTTTATGCAAATTATACCTGCATCTATCGCTCAGAGTTATCTCCGTCTCTCATTAAGTCTAAAGGTTGCCACTAAGTCTTTATGGACCGAATTGATGTCCATGATATTGTATGCTCGACAGTTGTTGATTGAGTTCTACCATTTAGTGTTGATCAAAATGTGGTCGAACTGGGGTTTGTATCTATCTGGGCCGCTGTACATTTCCAATCTTGATATCCTATTTGGAAAGTGCGGTTGAGCTGGTCGGGTTCTAGTCGCTTTGCAAAAGTCTATCAGCCTGTGTTCAAGTAACATCGTGGACACAGTGCTTGGGGTTGCTGTTCTTGCTAAGGCGTGCGTTGAAGTCAGGGTTAAGGTTAGTTTTTTTATTAGATATTTGTTTTCAAAGTTGTTGTCAACTCAATTGACTTAATGCATCACTTAAGGGCCCACCACAACACATTCAAGTGAAGATCAGTAATAAACTTAGTATTTGCTTTTTTCCCCCTCAACGAGCCATTTCTGAGCTACTCATACTTGCCTACCTAGCGGAGGTTTCGGCGTGTCGCTGCATATCAATCCGCCAGTCTGTAACCCTTAGTACAGAGACTTTACTCTGACCACTCTAACTTTGGCCAGCAGAGAAGATGCAGGCTCTGCTTGTGCGGCATGCGTGGCGATACTAGGTTAACCGTACTCCGTTTTGGCGTCAAAGTAATGTAAGCTTCAGCCTCAGCCTTTCCTCACTATTAAATATCACTAATCAACAAAAAATACTTTGAAAACACTTAAAATAAGTCAACGTAATTCTTTTCTTAGTAAAATTACCTTATATTCAAGTATCAAACGATACGGAAAGAAAATAATGTGATTTCATTGACATTAATCACATCAAAACAAACTGAAAAAAATTACGTTATTTTTAAACACTATTCACATTTATTTTCAGCAATAAAGTCAATCTTAAAAAAATATTTCAAAATAAAAAATATGAAAAAAAATTTCAAGTTTATATTACTTTCCGAAGTCGGACGAAAAACACTCGACTCTGACAACCAAACCGACCCCTAGAAAAAATACCGACTCATGCAAAAATCCCCGATTCTGACCGATTCAGACACTCTGTATAATACAACCAAACTGACTAAAAATGTGAACATAATTTTCAAGAGTAGATTATATAACCATCATTTTCTTCTATTCATCACTCGAGTAATAATAATGTAACAAAAATAATTTCAAAAAATATTTACGAAAAACAAATTGTTTAACTGAGGTTATAAATCTGGTGCTCAACTATTTGAAAAAAGGAAATGGTTGCACAATTTGTTGGCAATTCATTATATATCATTTTCATTGTACAAGATGATTACGTATCGCTAAACAGATATCTTAAAAAAACATGAGTTTGAAAAATACTTTTATAAAAATAAATGAAAGTTTTTCAAATTCTTAACACTTATCGAAGTCGGGTGAAAAATATCGGACTGTGACTTCCCCAAGTAGACATAAAAGATTACATAAGACCGAAATGATGGAAAAAAAAATGAAATCGATGCCTGAAATAGGGATAGCGTGTCAAATATTGGCGAAACACGAGCTGATAATTTGATTTTTTTTATAATAAATATATAGAAGATGACCAGTCAATAAAGAAACCTGACACCTAATTTCCATCTAAGTTCATTTTGACAAAGTCAATTTCCATCTAAGTTCAATTTGACAAAGTCAATATTTCCCTATATAAACATCAAAAAGCACTGATGATGATTCATTCGGAATCGAAACATGGCCTTATTTGCAGCATGAATTCGGAAAATAAGTTTATTTTGAATTTTAATAAACTAAACGTTCACCAAAAAACTTTAGTGAGAAAAATTGAAAAAACGAACTACAAACATATTAACGCCAAACATTCGGTAGAATTTATAGAATATTGTAAAAATTATGGTCTATTACCAACATTTACTCGAAGTTCTGCGACCAACCGACGTAATCTAACAATCGAACAAGATCGCGAGCAGCGACTGCTCCATCTCTTTCGAGAATTAGAAGTTAAAAGGAAGGTAGTTCTAGACTTGTCAAATCAACTAACTGAATTGTTGAATCAATGAGATTACTGTGATGTTGATTGCAGTGTCAAGAATGAACTAAACTTATGCCGGAAAGAATTTATAAATGCATATATGCAATCATCAAGACTAAAACTTCATAAAAAACTGACCAACCTGATAACCAAAGAAAATAACAATATTATGAAAGATAGATTCATCAATCTTAGCCACCACATACATACAGACATGCAAAAAGCGTTCTTAAACCTGGGTTTAAATTGCCACTATCTGAACAAACCCAACAAAATTGAGAAAATCATTGAGATAGAAAAGCTAATGATGTCTATAAACGACGCTGAACGTCAAAGTAAAATAAGCGTCAACCCCTCTGTTGCCATTGAGCTTCAAGCTGAAGCTAAGAAACAACGTGGTAGTTTTCAAGTTTTCAAAGCAAGCTACTCACTGAAGAGATGAAAGATGCGGCGAAACAACTAAGGAAAAATAAAGATATTGTAATACGACGCGCAGATAAATCTGCACAATATGTCATTATTGGCCGAGCCGATTATCATGAAAAACTCAATGATGTTCTCAAAGATACAAAAAAGTTCCAAGTAATCAAAAAAGATCCCACTCCTCAACTAAAAACTTAACTAAACACAATAATTGAGAAAATAAAAAAGCACATCACTGATGACAAACTTCCATCACTTATAGGCGAATACCCTCCTGGCTACTTATATGGAAATATAAAAACGCATAAGAATAATCATCCCATCCGACCAATTATTAGCCAAATTACAACCGTCACATACCTTGTTGCAAAATTCTTGAAAAAAATTTTAACCCCATATATTCCAAACAATTACGCACTACAATCTTCCCGTGAGTTTATAAATCTCCTCAGAATTAATAAACCATCCAAATTTATTGCCTCTCTGGATGTTGAATCATTATTCACAAATGTACCAATTCATGATACAATTGACATAATTATCAACACCGTTTATCACTCAGATATGGTTTCATTGAGCATACCGAAAGCACAACTGAAGTCCCTTCTTCAAATTTGCACTACCAAAGAACCATTCCACAGCCCAACAGGCAAACTTTACAAGTACATCGATGGTGCTGCTACGAGTTCCCCCTTGCCAGTTTTTACTTAGGACATCTGGAGAATGAGACCTTCAAAAACAATGCAAATTTAAAACCAAATATCTACGCTAGATACGTTGATGATATCTTTGTCTCCTATAACGCAAAGCGTACGAAAAAAGACATAGTTGGTGCCTCATGTATCAAAAACGACAAAAATGAGATGGTTCTTGAACAAGATGAGATCAAGCTACGGTGGAGAGAATACTTCAATAGTCTGTTAAACGAAACAAATCCAATCAATGTTAACTTTGACGCTCCACCCATCGAAGGTCCGATTCCAGACATCACTGTAGAGGAGCTTACAAAAGCTCTGAAAGCTATGAAGGATGGAAAGGCAGCAGGGCCCTCTGGACTCATAAATGACATTATCAAAACATCTGGTACTGAAGGTATCCAAACGTTACTACAACATTGCCGCGAAATAGGGGAAATTGCTCAATGCCGACTGAATGGAACTATGGCATGACAGTCCCGCTATACAAAGGCTAAGGTGATCCATTGAACTGTTCATCATATCGGGGTATACGTCTGTTAGAACACTTCCTGAAAATTGTCGAGAAAATCATTGAGAGAAGATTAACGTCGTGCATCACAATCGGAAATTATCAATTTGGTTTTCTAGCGGGGAAATCAACAATTGATGCAATTCACATCCTTCGGCAACTGCAAGAGAAGTACCTCGCAAAGCATCAACAACTATCACACACAAGCAATCAGATGGAGTCTACGTCGACAATTCATGCCAGAATATCTTGTTCGATTTGTGATGGAAATGTATACGAATACTAAGACTTTTGTCAGCACAACGGTTGGAAACACAGATGCATTTGACACCGGCGTTGAATGGAAGAAATCACAAAACCGATACGCACTGGTGACATTTGGAATCTAGTATATGCTGATGACATCGTTTTAACAGCCATCTCTGAGCAGAATGCAGCACAGATGTTTGAAGATTGGAACACCAGACTCGCCGATCATGGATTCAAAGTCAACATCAGCAAAACCAAAGCAATGAACACTGGTGAACCCATCCAATCCACAGCTACTGGACGATGGCCCTGTTCAGTTTGTAAAGCTGGTGTAGGTAACAATTCAATCAAGTGTCAGCAGTGTAATCAGTGGTGTCACAAACGTTGTTCAAAAATAATTGGTACTTTATCTAAAGTGTCCAATTTTGTTTGTCCTGCTTGCATCAATCCACAACAACAAATTCGAAATAGCAATGTTTTTGAAGCCAATAAAATAGAGAAAGTCACATCGTTTCAATATCTAGGGGATGTTCTGGATTGTACTGGAACAACTGAAGCTGCCGTTCGAGCACACATACGTGCAGCCTGGAATAAATGGCATCTCCTTGCCTCTATATTGATGCGGCGTGACATCCCACTACCACTACGATCAAGACTTTATAAATCTGTGATACGTCCGGTGTTGTTATTTGGTGCAGAAACATGGCCAATGACAACCAAACTGGAACAACAACTTCAACGAACCGACATGAAAATGCTCCGATAGATTCAACGAATTAGTCTGAAGGACCACATCAAATCTACCGAAATCCTGGTTCGTGCTGGTTTAGATGATATAAAGGACGAATGCCGGCAACGGTGGTTTGGTCATGTCAAACCAAGTGGAAACAGTGCCATAACTTCTCTTGCAGATGTTGAAGTACCTGGCACACGTCCCAAAAGCCGTCCAAAGAAGTCCTGGTCGCAAACAATCGAGCAAGACATGAAAGCTCTAAATTTAAATGAAATGGATACAACTGATCGTCTAATTTGGCGCAAAAAGTTGATGGCAAAGAAAACAACGTCCTACCTCGGGAAACCGGGTCTCTGGACGCAAAACGAAGATTGATTGATTGATATAACGATCCTGAACAAATCACCCAACTTCTTTGTACCTTAAACAAATCAAAAACTAAAATTTACCATTGAAATTGAAAAGGAACAACGTTTACCTTTCCTCGATGTGTTGGTCACCCGTGGCGAAGAACGATTCAGCGGTCTATGTCAAAGAAACAAATACAGGAAGTTGTTTGAATGGACAAAGTGAATGTACCGAACAATTTAAAGACAGCACAGTAAAATCATTTGTAAACCGGGCATTCACACACTCTTCCGATATTGAAAATCGCGACGCTGAATTAAAAAGAGTCACTAACCTGCTTGTAAACAATGGATATAAGACTTATTCTATTGAAAAGATTGTTAAAGGCATATTACTTCACAACAATAACCTTCCTAGTACCAACAATCAAGATAACGACATCATTTTGTATTACAGAAATCACATGTCATCTGCATACAAAGTAGATGAAGCTATTCTTAAACATACCATCAATAAAAATGTCACACCAACCAACCCAAATAATAAAGTTAAACTACGAATTTATTACAACAATAAAAAGACGTCTCACCTAATACTGAAAAAAAACTGTAGTCCTAGAGATAACTCTGTGTTAAGGCGTAATCAAGTAATATATGAATTTAATTGTCCCTTTGACGGCTGTGCACGTGAACATGACTCATATATCGGGATTACTACTACCTCACTGACTAGAAGGCTTACGATGCATAAACAGAGTGGTGCTATCAAATCTCATTTAGACTCAACACACTCAATCACTATTAACCGTGAAATCCTCGACAGCAACACCAAAGTAATATACCAGAACAGCAACTACACGCATCTTAAAATTGCAGAAGCAGTCCTAATTGACATCAATAAACCAAAAATAAATATACAACAAAAAAATGACAACCTCACTTCTAACCCGGCGCTTAACCAACAATGAAAACAAAGAAGAAATAAAAACTAGCATTGTAAATAGTGACAAAGAAGAATATGATGCTATCGATGAAGAAATGGAGACCAAAGAAGATGACCAGCCAATAAAGAAACCTGATACCTAATTTCCATCTAAGTTCATTTTGACAGTCAATTTCCATCTAAGTTCATTTTGACAAAGTCAATATTTCCCTATATAAACATCAAAAAGCACTGATGATGATTCATTCGGTATCGAAATATGGCCTTATTTGCAGCATGAATTCGGATAATAAGTTTATTTTGAATTTTAATAAACTAAACGTTCACCAAAAAACTTTAGTGAGAAAAATTGAAAAAACGAACAATAAACATATTAATATATATTTATATAGATATATATATAAAATATATATTTTTCATTTGTAAAATTTTAAATGAATGAAAATTGTTTAATTAATGATTTTTCGAGGCACTATAAATTTCAGTAGTCCTGTTTTATTACGAATCCCAGCATCCAATTGTTTCCAAATATGGTAATAGTTTGTTTTAAAAAATATTACGAACATTTTTCTAATAGTTAGAACTCACAAAAAATATTAATAAACATTAACTAATTCACAAATTTAGGGAACTGGGTGGGGTATTGTGTGGAAAGAAATGGTCAGTGAAAAAGAAAGGAAGGGTATATAAAGCATGTGTGAGAGCAGCGATGGTATATGGTGGTGAAACTTAGGTGTTGAGGAGAGAGGAGGAAAGTGTGCTGCAAAGGGCTGAAAGAGCTATAGTGAGTATAACGTGTGGGGTTAAAGTGAAGGATAGGAGGAGTAGTACAGAGCTGATGTCGATGATGGGACTGAATGAGGACATTGTGACATTGATAAGGAGATCGAGATTGCGGTGGTATGGACATGTGTTGAGAAGGAATGAAAGGGTCGGGATTAGGCGAGCGTTGGAGTTCGAGGTTGAAGGAGTGATAGGAAGGGGTCGTCCGCGATTGGGATGGAAAGAGCAGTTGGAGAAAGACAGAGTGTAGCGAGGTTGCATGATACTGAGGCGAGTGACAAATGTGAATGGCGTCGAGGGGTAATTCGGTTTCATCATAGGTAGCCAAACGGCAACCCCCGATCTCGGAGAAAATGTCGTCTAAACGTGTGTTGATTTTGTTGTTAACCAATTCACAAATTATATATATACTTTTTGCCTTTTTTTCCTGCATTCTGATGTGTAGCATCCACCGGTTTCTTCGTTGATGTGTACAACTTCTTCTACAACATCTATTTCTTCTAATGTCATCTTCATTTCATAATACCTAGTTGTGATTGTAAGTTAAAATTAAAACATTCACCAAATTTTGTATAAAAAAAGGATAAACTTAGAATGGTAATGAATATGAAAGACCTTATAAACAGTTAATATATATGGCTATACAAATATAGCTGAAAATAAACAACAGGAAAATAAATATTTGTTCTTTTACAACAATATTAAAATTGAAACAACGTATTTAAAAATATAAAAAATACTGCTTTTAATTTTTTTTATATATTTTGATGTTAAATCAAAAATTACAAATAATTCAGTTAACTATACTTAAATTTAATGTTCATACATAACAAACAAGTGAGTTGAATTACAAATAAGTAGCTCTTTTAAAGCCGTTATTATACAGTCAACACAACTTAATCAAGTTGAGGAAAAATTATCCATACGTTATTTCTATTCTACTTTTATTCTATTAACTACAACTGAGGTAAAACTAACGTAAATATGTGAATGTTGCTCGAAGAAGCAATTGGTGCAATGGTAATTGAAAGATTTAAGATTGAAAGTTGATGTAGGAAAACAAGAGAAAAGTTGAGCGAATGTACAATATAATAAAAATAACTGTCAGAAAGATTGTCAAAACTGACAACAGTGACGACAAAAGTTGCCAGGAGCACAGCATTATGTAATACATTAAAAATAGTTAAAAGATATAATAAAAAGATAGAATGTATTATATGAACTTTTTTTCAGTCTTTATTATTGCAGCTCTGACATACGCAGATCCACTTACAATGTTACATATATATTATCTATATATCTCTTTATTTATCAATCAATCAATCAATCAATCAATCAATCAATCAATCAATCAATCAATCAATCAATCAATCAATCAATCAATCAATCAATCAATCAATCAATCAATCTTCATTTAGCGTTCAGAGACCCAGTTCCCCCGAGTTAGGACTTTTAATTATGTTCTTCATATTTTCATCCACTGATTTGAAGTAGCCATCTTCGCCATAAAGGTTGTTATCCTTTTCACACGACGTACACATGTATTTAGGTGCACGCGCAAGCACCGCATCATATACGCTGAATATATGATAGCTATTGAGATGATTGACTCAGCGCGCATTTTAACCACTGAGCCATCTCGTCGGCCAATATGCAACAACTTACGTCGTCTCCCCATTTACCGAACTCGGAAGGATGGACGGCTGGGTTGGCCGGGGGTCGGCTACCCGGATGAACCTGCAGAAATTGAACCCGGGTCGTGGGAGTAGTAGACGGTCACGCTAACCACTCGGCCACGAGACCCATCCAATATGACAAATATAAAATTCATCAATATTATTATCTAAGAGTACTTTTATTAAATATTGTATCAACTATGGTTACTATGCCTGAAATAAAAAAATAAAATGAAATTTATAATGCAATGCAATAAGACTAACGATAGTACCAATAACAACAATGCACATGTAAAGTGCAGTAATAACAGCTAACCAACTTGAAGTGCTTGAATCTTGCGGCTCTCCGTAGTTCTTCCCAATGTTCAACAATTCTGATTGGACGAGAAGACTCATTAAGGCTTTTTCTATACGTAGACCATTGACCAAACAACGACTTCAATAAAAATTGAGCATATAATTTTTAACATAGAACATAACAAAAATTAACATAGAATTTGGTTAGAAATATTGAGAAATGTAATAAAAAACTATCCAACGCTCGAAATTCGGTAGATTTAATAAATTACTTTGTATATATATTACTGCGTATGTTTATATATATATATATATATATAATGCACGCTGGGATATATATAATGCAAGCTATGTAGCATGAACAATCGTATAATTTCAAATATTTTGTTTACTAATTTCAATGAACCTTTGCGTTTTTATTTCGTTACTTTTATTTTATTTTAATATATTAAAAAATACAACTAATTAACTATTAATAGAATTTATTTAAAATATATATTGCACTGATGATGACTTTACGTCGAAATAGATCTATATGCATAACTTTAATAATAATATAAAAAATAAACGATTATAAAAATGGGATCTTGCTTGATTAATTTTAACAATTAAAATCATAAACGATTATAAAATGGATTTCAACATTTTGAATAGACTTAATTGTAAAGAACTAGTTCAAAATATTAGAAAATCAACCATAAAACTTGTTAATGCTGAATCGTCGGTGGATTTTTTGAACAACTGTATAGAACTTGGTCTTCTTCCTAATTTTACCAAACTAACCTCGACCAGCCGATCAAGCTTAACTACCGAGCAAGAACGTGAGCAACGCCTACTACATCTTAATCGGGAGTTAGATAATAAACGACATATTGTGAACGATATTACAACTAATTTAAACAATTTGAATCAAAATTTTAACAACCTTCAAATAACCAATGATGATAAAATACCTATTGAAACATGGTTACAACAAACAGCAACTTCACAACGACACCGCATCAAACTTCGTACCAACAATAAACTTATAAACCTTTAAAAGCAAGCAACAAAGA